AAAAAAAAAAAAAAGTTCCACAAGTAATCTGTGAGCCACATGAACAGTGATGGTGGGAGTAACTGCCCAAAATAAGGCATTTTATTGAAATATGCTGTCTAGGTTTGCTAATAGAAAGATACAGTAATTTAGATGATATACAAAAATTAATCCAAGGGATCGATTATTGGTAATACTAAAAGCAAAGGGCCGGGGAGATAGCGCAGTAGAATAAGTGCTTGCCTGGCAAGCGCAAGGGCCTGAGTGCAATCTCCAGTTCCGCAAAAAAAAAAAAAAAAAAAACATGGAGATAAAACGATGTCTTGGACTTTCTTCTAATTAATCCCAGAGGAATGAGTGAAGTAAAATAAAATTGGCTTTGAATTAGTAAAGCTAGTTAATGGACACATAATTCAGTACACTAGTCTCTCTTTAAAATATTTTTGAAATTTTCTGTAAGAACTGTGCTTCAGAACTATTATATCAGAATAGGTAGTTTGTGTTTGTGATCATTGCCACTTTTCTTACAGTGCTGAAGGAAGCCATGTTTCAGGACAGAGCAATGGGCGAGACCCACAAGCTCTTGCCAAGGCTGTACAGATTCACCAAGATACCTTACGCACAATGTACTTTGCTTAACAAGTCCAAGTGTGTTCTTGAAGGGAAGAACTGAGCGATGAATCAACATACAGCATATGTCTCCAGTAGTCCACTGAGTAGATGTGTCTCCAGCCATACAGAAGCCAGCACTGTGTGGGAGCCCGGTCCTTATGTTGATGCAAGGAAGATTGTTTACTTCATCAAGGAACGCAGCACCATTATGCAATATAAAACCAGCCAGCTGCTTTTTGTGCGGTCTCCTGTAGGAAGTATCGCAGTTGTTTTGTTTTCTCTTCTTATAGTCTAACCCTTTTAATGCCTTTACCTCAAGTTGCTTGGCAGCACAACTATCTTTGCAAAAAAAAGTAAAGCAAAAGTAAATGATGGTTTAAAAAACATACACCTACACAAATAATCAAAGTGAATATTCACAATTACGTGTGCAAAAAATTAATGTGCATTCATATATTCTTGTAAACGGAGTCTGTTTTTAAATATATACATGCATATTTCATAGGCATATATATCTGAGTCTAGATGGATAATAGATATATATGTGTTTATGTATATATTTTAGGATTCATTCCATTGGGGAATTTTCCTTCCCTTTTATTCTCTGCTCACTACCACCTTCATTTCTCTCTCAACCTCCCTTGCCCTCATCTTCTATATTCCTAATGCTGCCAGTGACATTCAAATGTTCATCGATGTGGCTCATTTGAATGTGAAGCGTGGCAAGCGAGATTTCTGTTTTTATTTTGTACACCTTGCTCCTGTGCTGTTTCATACACAATTCTGAGTCAACTCTTGATACTGCTTTTTGTGTGTCCCTCCTGCTCTGAACTTATATTTGCTGTTTGTGCAATGTGTACATACACAGTAGCAACCTGAACTATTCTTTTTCTTTAGTGATTTTGTTGAAGCTGCTATAAATACAAAACTCTGTGAGAAGTTCTAACCCTTTCTCTCTGATATATGATGTGTATTGTGAAGCCTTCTGTTTCCAGGAGTTATACACAAGGTAAATATTTTAAGAGATTAGAATGCTGTAGGGTTGAGGCCTCTGAAATTGGGTGAAGAGAGAAAGGTTTATGAGGGGATTGGTTTTTGCTAGTTTACTTGCTGCCTCTCATACTTTAATGTGATTTTCATATATATATTTTTATATATATGTCTGTGTTTATATATAAACATATATGTATGTGTTTTGAAATATAGCTTCCTTTTCTTTTATATTTATTAGAATAGTGCTTTAATAATTATAGAATTGTATTGGCAACATCTTTTATAGAAATATAGTCATGTTTATTTTAAGAACTTACAACTTGTTTTTTGCTATCTTTTAGTGCAATAAGCAGTTTTAAAGGAAAATGTGTCTGTTTGACACCATTACAACAGATTGTAGGAGAAACAGGAACCTCCATTGTTTTAAAATGGCGAAGTAATACAGCCTTAATTTCAGAAGGAAAGTTTCATAATTTTCAATTTTAATGCATGTCTTTTGAAAATCATAATGATAATGAAGTAAAATTTCCTAGACGAATCTGACTTTATTAGAAATATTTACTTTAAGAAATGACAGAGACAAATTTTTTAATTATTTAAAAGTAGATAATTATTATTGAGGAATAATACTGGATAGATGCCTAAGTTCATTTACTAAAATGAATCCAGAAAATACAAGATCTTATTTTTAAATTTTTTTTGTTGATTTACCAAAATATAACTTGCTTCTTAAAATTAAGGTGGTAGGGACAAAAGATGGTAGGACTTTGATCATTTTAAATGAGTTCAATCACTGAAATGCAAGGAAAACTCTTTACAAAGCTTTTGTTTTATTGATTTCACTTTAGGATATTAAAACGTACTGTAAAGCTGTCAAAACCTGGTTTATCAGTAACTTTGGATTCAGGGGAACTTTGTAATTCATGTGGAGGTTTTGATTGGTTTTTCTTTTATCGGGGGTAAGGTTTTTTTGTTTTACACTGGTTCCGAATATAGATGACACAGATTGTTTCCAATGGGCATTGTTAGCCTTTCAGAATTCCATCTGCACCTAAAAACTAATGGATGTAGGTCTTTAGTTGCTCTCTTATCTTCAGTACACTATTATTGCCAATTTACTGTATGTTGAGCCTGAAATTTGAGCCCATGTCCTCCAACAGGCATGATATCTTTTGTCCCTTTGCCAGAAAACTTAAAAAGTACTGTATTTTCTATGTTTATTATTTTGAAGTATCTAAAATGCAATTTACAACACTGTTTCAAAGCACTTTACATAGGATATTTGTACAGTATATACATTTTTTCTTCTAGCCTTCTTCCATCTCCTAAAAAATTCTTTTGAAACATGTTTCACTTTTTTATTTTGTTTTGTTTGTTGGGATGGGGGTATTGTTTTATTTTGGCTTTTGAGACAGGGTCCCACTAGTTGTCTGGAATGATTTGAAACTTCTGAGGGCAAGCAGTCCTTCCAACTCAGCCTCCCCAGTATTGGGTCTATAGGGACACACCACCATACCCAGCTATGTTTGTTGTTTTGTATTTAAATTTCACTGAACACAGTCTGGAATATGGGTAAGAGAAGAAAGCAGTATGTCATAGATGGCAAAATCTTGATTGGTATCTCCTTACTCAGTATAAATGAAACGTTGTCTACTCTACCTGCACAAGTTCATGTGGAAAACTTTAGGGAGCCCCTGAAGATGCTGGGTCCCTAGTTACTGTTACTGTCGACCTATCTCCAGTCACTTAGTCTCACATATGGAAAGCCTTTAATTTAAATCTATTTAGGACATTTTAAAAAGGAAAATTATTCTTCTCTAAAATATAAAACTTAATACCTGTGAGTGATTTCTTTTTTGTAAAGTGTTTTTACACTGTCAGCATTGCTAGTTTATTTGAGTAACTTGGAAGAATATATATAGTATATTTCTACTTTGCTTACTATCAAGTTGGTATACCAAATTTTAATTGTAAGAAACCTCGTGCTTAGAATTTAAGATAAAAGGTTGCTTAAGTGGCAAATACTACTTGAAATTTGTTCTAATTGTTTTTGTACTTCTGAGTAGAATTCCTGATCTTTCTTATTTTAAAAAAACAAAAGTTTGGTTTTGTTGTTACTTTTGTTTTTTTTATTTACGCATCATGAAACTCAGACCTTTCTATCGCTCCTTGTCCTTGCCCTGCCTAACTATATGATGAATGCTAAATTTTGGTCTCATGTTTTCTTTGAAATACCAGTCTCAGCAACTAGTATAATTAATTGATTTTCATGTGAAGAAGACTTGAGAGCTTGGGCTAGGGCTATAGCTTATTAACAAAGCATTTACCTAGCGTGTGTGAGGCCCTGAGTTTCCTCCCAGCACTGTAAAAAGAGAAGAGTTGGGAGTTTAGTGTATATCCTTGATGGTAAATATGTCCGTGTAAAGTGCTAATATATGTCATTATATTACAGTATCAAGTTACTGGCATTGAGGACCATACATTTATAGGACTGTAGCTGCTATATTTATTTAAACAGAGTCTGACCATTACTGCACTAAATAATGAGATGAACAGGATTCAAGCCCAGCATTGGGCCCTTTTTATCATCTTGTAAATAAGAGTAAGGATGTGAAATACCAAGGTAATAAAGGGTGATACCATTTTGGTTTCAATTCAGTACCAAAATATCCTTGTTTTAGAAATGTAAATTTCTTTTACAATTTAAGAAAGGGTTCCTCAACCTCCTCAGTACTGGTTCTTGGCACATTTTCACAGAAATACGAATGTCCTTTCTTTTTTTAATAATTACTCTTTAACAGTGTCTTGGAAAAACTAGTCTATAAAAATGGTTCTGTTTATAATCTATTACTTTACTTCTCTTCTAAAGACATTCTGGTAGGAATATCCTGGGTGTTTTGGAAGACCCTCAGTATAAACTGAACAGGAATACCCCATGTTCTAAAGACCAGGACTGGTTTTCCAAGCTGAGTTCTCTGTGACCCACTACAGCCTAAGATTAACTTGTGTCTTCTTTAATGGACCTTAGGTAGACAAAGCCAACACTTAAAGTCATGGCAGGACTTAAGATATGTCCCAGGAAATAAAAGCCAGTCAGCAGAGACAGCTGGCAGATGGTCTCTGTCAGAGGAAAGGGTGAACACTCAGTCAGGATTAGGTCAGAAGCCCAGAATTCAGAGACTGTTATCCAAGAAACATGATGACTGTTTTCAGAGATCTGTATGCCATTGCCAAAGACAATGGTTTTTATGAAATTTAGGAAGCTAACCACTTAAACATGCGAGTATTTTATAGTCTTCCTACTTCAAAACTGATGATAATGTTTTGCCAAATTTAACTGACAGCTCTGTGTAACTTTCACTTACTATCATTAGCCCTTAGTTAAATGTTTGCTTAACTCATCCTCTTAGATTTTCTCCTGTTGAAGAGAAAGACTACCTTTAACAGTTCCTTGCTATTTAAATTACCTTTTATGTATTCCTCAAGCTGTAAAAAGGTATTGGTCTATCATCTTTATTTTGGCTTTTTTATCCATTTGAAATATAAGACCTTTTCATTCTTTTTGAAAATTTGTGGATGTTTTAAAACCTCAATAATAATAGTTTGGAGACAGATGTCACGTAAGGCCTTCTCTGGCAATAGAAGCCTAATTTGGGGGATATCTTTGTTTTCCTAGTGAAAAGCACTGTTGTTTTTCTATAGAGGTCAAAAAAATGTTCCAAGAATAAATATGTAAGAATCAATACAGAGAGGCTGGGGAGGTAGCTCAATAGAATAAGTGCTTGCCTGGCAAGTGCAAGGGCCCGAGTTCAATCCCCGGTTCCACCAAAAAAAAGAAAAAAGAAAAGAATCAGTATAGAAATCAGAAAGAAGTTTCTCCAAAAACATTTGTTTTATATTTCTGCTCACCTTAAGAGCAGTCTTCAGAGACAGTGCTAAAAATGAAAGCAAAACTGAGTCCTGAAGGGGGTGGAGCGATGTGTATGGGTGTGCGCATGTGCGTGTGTATGTGTGTGTGTGTGTGTGTGTGTGTGACATGTACATACCATAACAGGTATAACTGTATGTCTGCATTACATATAAAAAGGAAAATACTGGGTTTTTTCCAACTTTAAAAATGGTACATTTAAGCTTATAATTTTTGTCTGAATAATTTTTTTAATAATCAAGGCTTGTGCTGACAGCCACTGGTAGCTTAAATTTGTTTTACCTTACCCATCAAAAATAATGCTCTAGATTTTTACATTGTCGACTAAATCTTAAGAATCTTTTCTCAAAGTATAAAAGCTAAGGATTTTAATTTGAATTAAAAATGGATAAAAAATTTAATATGGAGGGTTAAGATTTTTTTAAAAATACTGTTGAGGTATTAAGTAACCAAAAAATGTGACAAAATCTCAAAAACATCAACCAAGGCGCCGGGGAGATGGCTCAGTAGGATAAGCGGTTGACTGGCAAACTCAAGGATCTGAGTTCAATCCCCAGTTCCGCAAAAAAACATCAACCCAGCCACAGGGCTCCCTTCCTTTTTTTATTTTTTTTGCGGAACCGGGGATTGAACTCAGACCCTTGCGCTTGCCAGGGAAGCGCTTATTCTACTGAGCAATCTCCCTGGCCCCTCCCTTCCTTTTTAAAAACAATTTCTGAAGTAACCAAAATCTAATGTCATATTCTATGTTAGGGTCTCAGTAAAACAAAGATTTTTTTCAGGGTAGTCTCTAAATTTTTAAAACACTTTTTAAAGCAAGGTGGTTCTTAGAAAGTGCCTTTACAGAAGATGGTGCTGTAGATTTTTTATTTTTCAAATAGCATGAGGCTAACAATTTTAAAGATAAATTGTTTTATAACTCCAAGAGTGTAACAGTTTCATATAAGTAATGTTATTTGTTGTCCTGAATCTGGTCAGAGGAACCAATGAAAGCTTTTATGTCATATAGAATCCAGGTAAATGCTCACCAAATTTATTTTGTAAATTTGAAAACAATTTTTTTTTTCTGTACTGGCAAATTAAACCCAGGGCCATATATATACAAGGCAAATAATCTACCACTGAACTATATTCCCAGCCCTGAAAGCAAAAATTTGGACAGTTAAGCCTTGTAATTATCTGTTAGGTTCAAGGTTTTGTTTTTATTTTTGTTTTTGAGACAGGGTCTCAACTATGTAGTTCAGGCTGGCCTTGAGCTCACTTTGTAGCCCAGGCTGGTCTTGAACTCAATGATCCTCCTCCCTCTGCCTCCCAAGTGATAGGATTACAGGTGTATGCCACCATGCCCTGCCTCAAGGTAATTTATAAGATAGCCTATCATGGACGTAAAATAACAAGTTTAACCATATATTGCTACTAGTAATAAATGTCACAAGGGAAAGTACCTTACCAGGAATTGTGTTGTTTCCTTCCCTTCCCTCCCCTCCCCTCCCCTCCTTTTCCCTTCCCTCTTTCCTTTTCAAGTACAGATTGCCCAAGGCCTAGCCTTTTCTAGTTAACCATTTGTAAAGAAGAGTTCTAGTAAAGGGAGCACTAAATTTTCATTGAATTTATAAGAATGCAAATAATTGTATCATATTTTTAGGGCTATTTTCTTTTTTTAGACACTAAAGAATGTTTTAAATGACAGTTTATTTTTCTGTGGTGAGGGAGATGACACAGTGCCTTTAAAGGGCACCATCAGTTACTTCAAAATAAGAGTATAGCCCTGGGATGTGGCTCAGTGGTAGAGCTTCTGCTTAGCCAGTTCAGGGCCACAGACTGAGTCCACGGCACTGAGAGAGTGAATATGCAGTTCTTGGCTTTGGAGAAGATAAGCAAAAGAAAAGAAAATAGGACCAACCATTCATACTTAGCAGAAATTCAGGTATCTACCAAAAAGCAGTTTTCCCCTGTAGGAGAAAGCAGTATATATCAGTAAAGGATTACTTAATCAGGCCTTGCTTGTGAGTTTGGTGAGCATTACTCCAGAAAATAGGCTAAAGCAAAAACATCACACCTCAGTAACCTTGTATGCTGCATTATTTAATGATAGTAAAGCTATATTGATTGTTTGAAGTGTACTTTGTCTGTTTGCAAATATACATGCACATTAAACTTTTTCATTTTTATAATGTCTTAATAGCAGTTGAGTTTATTTTTTTAGGTTAATTTTTCAATTGTGATGTTTATATTTATTGGCAGTTTGTGTGCAACTTTTATATTTTGCTTAGATGTTGGTTTTAAGGTATTTTATTTTTATAGATATTGCTAGCTTTTCCTCTTTCTTTGTAATATTAGCAAAAATTAAGATGGTATGTTAACATGAAACTATTGATTCCATAAAGTATAGACTATGGATTTTTACCAATAAACTATTAACAGTATTTTCTAC